GATTTGTGCCCAACTGTTGACGCACGCACGCACGGACGATCATGCGATTCTACAAGTTGCATCTGACTATGTCAGATGAGCTAATAATAATAGTAATAATAATAATACCAGATCTACGATGCTGGAGCTGATGGACTTCAGGTAGCTGGTGCTGAGAATCGGTGGGCTGTCCTGGTTTACCACAGCCACAGGCACGTTTTTTAAGTCGCCACCAACCGCCAGGCAGAAGAAGCAGAGTTGGATGGATGGCATTATGAACTGAAACACCAGCAACCTACAACCAGATCAATGATCTTCATGAGATATCCCTTGTGTTTTGACTAATAATGCTCAATTTGTTGCCGATTCCACCTTTCAAGCAAACAATATAAATACATGTGATTTACATAGCCCTTTTGCCAGTATTTAGCATGCCAAGGTCATTACAATAATTCAGGGCAAGTGTCTGATAACACAGATACAATAAATTCATATAATATAACCAGGAGTGGATAATAGAGACTCTATTATCCACTCCTGATATAACGTTATTACCGGCTACCATATATCACACAATCTCTTTTAATCAATGACACTTTAATTGGCCAAAGGTTGCGAGACTTCAACTCTTCACTGCTCTTCTAGGTACAGGCATATGTGATGTGATTATAATTAAACTTCAGATGGACTTTGTCCCTATGACTCTATATCGTAAATATTCTAACTATGAGTTTTTCATTTACATGCTACAAAGCTAATAATAAGAATACATTGTAAACATTACATCGCGCTAAATAAAGCCCATGCAAGCATGCAAAGATAATAGCATTACCACATGCATGCTACAGCTAGCTGAAATGATACTAGAAGTTAACATACGGTATGTTTCTCCACATTTTCAGCAGATCTTTGATGATTAATGCAAAGATGTTGTTCAAGCTTGAAGAGCAACTGCTTTTCCATTCTGAAATAAAAATTATTCATTAGTGATAATAAACATGTTCTTCATTTTCGTTAAATCTTGGTATTGTGCGAAGCAACTGACTGGCAATTGTTCTATTACATGACACCAAGTGGTAGCATCACTTAGTATGTACTTCACAGAAATATCACAGCGCTATAGTTGCACCACATCACAAAACTATGTTTCATTCTAGTCAGCGCTTCAATTATACAAAATCAAGAGTCAAGTACACTCACCGAGTCCCATACATATGTTATATGATATATTAAGCAGTATGAATATCCACTGGTATTTTAAAGACATCACTATTTCATGTCGTGCTTTCCACCATACACGTAGAAGCAGAGTTCTTACCAGTTTTCACTTCTGTTGTTGAGGATGAGTGTGACAGAGACTTCGATATCGAGTTAGGATGTGTGTGGTTCGCTAACAGGGGAGTTCTCTCATCGTCTATGCCACTGCCACCAGCATCAACTTTAGGACTAACCACCTTTCGAAATTAGAATACAGCGAGAATAACTCTACAGAATTTTTTTTTTTTTCTCACATATAAGCATGTTAGGTATCCTATTGAAATAGTACATTTTCGTATAGGCATTATAGTATATTTACATATATTTCTTTATATACTAATGGCCCTGTCACACATTGACGATTTAGCCAGCGTATGCCGGACGTATCAAAATTTCTCTAAAACGCTGGCATACGCTGAACTATCGATGTTTTTTT